AAAAAAACACACACAGAACACACACAAACACACATATATATATATATATTATGTAATTTACATACTCTCTTAGAAATTATGCAAGTGATACATCTTTCGACCTGCAAGTCTATGATGCAATACATGTGTCATTTCATCCCCCAGCCGCCTCACCGTTTTCTGAACCACCAAGAAACGCACCAAAACGGCCGAAAACCGATTTCCTCGTCCCAGATGCCTCATGAACCCTCGAGGTCAAGAATCGCGCCTAGGCGCGTCCGGTTCCGCGGGTCCCCGTCGTCACGGTTCGCGTTCAGGAGTTTAGAAGGGATGGCATTCGGACCACAAGTGTGTGTGTGTGTGTTATATAGGTAGGTATTGCTCTTGCCCCATGGGAAGCAGCACAATGTGTATTAGCGTGCATTAATGCTCATTAGATACTATATTTTGACGCCAACGCATACCATACCAACACCTGTCTCTCTATAAAATCGGCTCCTGTCCTCCCCAAATCCACTAAAAGATAAGTAGTGCCGGGGGATGACCCCCGTCACTTCATAGAGGATATTGCATGGTACATCTAAATATAGCATTCTTCTCATAGTTTGTGTTGCGCTCAGGTCACAACAAGCAGCATGGCCTTTCTTCCTTTTTGGCCCCAAAAGCTGGTTGCATCATCTGTGGGCCGCCCAAAAGTCCGGTAGCGAAAATGACCACAAGATGTCATCTGCATCACCCAACAACTCGAGAGCTTTCAACACTTCGCGTCACTCTCACTGCCTTCAGGCTGCTGAGCAGCTAGCTCGAAATAACTTTTGTGAGAAAACTGCCCTCATACTTTCGCTTCTCATTTTACTTTTCGCCTTCATCTAACAGCGCCTTGAAGTTGTCATTGGCGAGCGCATTTGCGACGGTGCCCAGCTTGTCATGGTAGAAGTCCTTTTGCTTCGTGGCCTTTGTACGGACCTCTCTGGGAAGTTGGGAGGTCTTTTGGAAAACAAAATTGTCTGTTACCGGTATAGGGCCTTATCTCCCATCACAATGGCCACCGTCTGGCTGCTGGCTGCTTCTCCGTAAAAGCTTTATTTGCTTTCTCCTTCCCCTTTTTGTTTGCCAACGCATTTTTTTGCGCCGGCTGGCGTGGAGCTAGCAAATACCGGCCTGGACTTCGACAAGAGCTGCAAGGAAACGACCTCTTGGTCGAAGTCCAGCACCCAACGGTTTCAACATGACCCTAAAATATCATCAGATCATCCGTGATTTGGACACCGTGACTTGTGCCAAGAGAGAAACGACAAGCGTGGAAACGACAAGTGTTCAACAGGTACCCTAGAGCCAGCTTCGGTGTGGTAGAGGCGGTTAACTTTTGCAGGAAATCCGAACGATCTTCTTTGATATCATCATACGATATCTCGGTGTAACCTGTGATGTCCACGCCTGGCTTCAATTAACTCAAGCCGACAAAGACACGTTTGGCAAGGGCTGTAACAAGAGGCACTTGCGCAGATCGCCATCAGCTTATTGATGCAACAACGACTTGGCCACGTGTTCACACGTGCTTCAAGGCTTCTGGATCACGGCGAGCCAAGGCAGCACCATGCAAAAGCTGGTTGGGATTTCCTTCCACATCGTGTTCTTGTCCACAAACGTGCGGAGGGTCATCAACATGAAAGATTCACTTGCAGAAAGATGTGTGGTGGGGTTGAATTTCTGAATCAATCGAAAAATCTTACAGGGGAATTCACAATACTCGTCGTGCCGAACCAACAGGTCGATTTCAGTCACCAGCAACGCAGGTGTGGTTTCCAGAAGGTCCGGCGATCTGTCGATTCTCAAAAGCCCAAGAGTCTCAGTCAACTGCAGCTATGCCTTATCCTGTACTTCCCCCTGTGCAAGGCGCGCCAGTGCCGGCGCAGAGTTGCGGTCAGTCGTTTTTGAAGAGGATAGAATCAAGGCATGTTCAGTCAAGGACAAGAACAGTACAACTGTACGAAGTTTCAAGTCTGCAGCTCGTGTTGCATATTCAGCCCAATTTTTACTCAGGCTATCCGCGTTCTCAACGGAGGGTCTAGTTGTTGTAACTTGCAACGCCTCTTTGGTAATCCCAATCATCCGCATGCGGAGGAGTGCTCCAGCACATGCTGCAAAGTGCCAAAGCCGCGTCGGTTGCGGCCTCTCATGCAGGACAAGCACCAAATGCGAACGCAAGCATTTTGTGCAAAAAAGGAGAGCATCTTCTTGGCTGAGGCCAAACTTGTATCAATCCTATCCCCAGTCAGAACGCACATCAACCAAATTGTTTGCGATGGCTCTGTCGCAGGCGGATCAAGCAATGACAGTATCACGTTCTTGGCAAGTGTTTGCTATAGCCTGCGCTATAGTACCAGAATCTGTTTCAGCAAAGGCTGTAAGTCTGTGAAGTACTCTACAGGTCTTTTCAGTGGGAAACATCACATGCCCAAGCACAACCTCGCTCTCAGCGTCCATCCCACAAGCTCCGAATCAAAAGAGCGAAGCTTCAAGGGGGGTTCATGCAAATGAGAAATAACAATGGCCGGCGCTTTTCTTGATTGGCCCTGCAACGTGTTTGAAGCCTCAAAGGTTGTCAACTCTTACCTCTCTTGAGTATTTCTGTGAAGACATCCCGGCATCCCTCACTTGCGTGGTGTACGTTCTGGACACAACCTTTTCTTCCTCAACCCTAAAGTCTTTGCAGGGGGACTGTGGAGGGATATTGGTGGAGCCAGCCCAGCCCTAATGCACCAAACATGCTGCACTCGCCCAGCTATAGCTTTTGACCTTTGATCACATCGATTCGTGCTTGCAGCTTTTTGCACTTGTGCCGCAGCTTTGCGCTGCGAGCCTGAAATTGTTGCACAGTCAGCGAGCTTTTCAAGTGGCGACTTTTGAAGACATCCAAGTTCAAATCATGGCGCAAAAACCTGATTTCTGCACTGGTCGATCAACATGTGCCACAGGATGCGCTGTCGCATTCTGAACAAAAGCGCGCAGCAAATTCTGAAGCTGCCACGCTTGCAAACGCACATTGTCCGACATGGGCGCCCACAAAATGAGAAAAGAAATGAACGGATTCTGGAAGCTGTCCTTGGCTTCTTCAGTTCCTATGCTCTGTGCTGGCCTTATCCGCCGCATGGAACCTAAACACCTCGGATAGACAATATATATATCATATAGTGACATCCGTTCAAAATTGCTGTATGTAGGTCAATGTAGGTGATTCAAACATGTCGCATGTTCGAGGCTCCAGGCCTGCATTCGCAACTCGAACTCTCAACTAGCCCACAAATCAGCCACTGGTACATCGCAAACCCAGTTCCGGCATCTATTGACAGCACGGTGAGATACATGAGTTACATGAGCATACATGATCCTTCTGGATCGCCTGAATATCCAGGAAAAAAAACCGTCATGAACCGTGCACATGTCATGAGAGTGCACGCACCAGTGCAGTGAGGGCCTCCAACCCCAACACAAATTACTCTACTTCGAGTGATTCCCCACATGTATTGACAAATATTGACAGACTAGCCTGTCAGGAAAAAATATGAAAACATGTAACATGAAGCAATTGTCAGGAGTTCCAAGGAGGTGGACCGGACCATCTCACATGGTCTTCAAACCCATCCAGTGACAGGCTACCCCGCAGCCCCAAGCTCGGCACCGCGGCATGGAAGTGGTCATTCATGTTTTTGGTGCTAAGATACGCCCTGGAAGATTAACATGGGACCTGAAAACAACTGCGTTGTAGAGGAAAAATCGTCTTCCAAAGGTCCATTTCCAGGTTCCATGTTAATCTTCCCGGGTGTACATGTATCGTTGGCATTATTGGCAAAGGACTTCATAAGATCCTTTTGGCCCAAGGAGTTCATATGACCCACATGTTGAACCTGTCTGCCTTTTTATGCCTCTTCCCAACCCTCCGGTCTAGCACGCCTCTTGTTTGGTCTTGTTTGACCAGGTCCGCCAGGCGCCTCTTGCGGGATCAGGGGTGCGATTTGCCCATCCAACTGCAGCAAGCGCCGCGGCAGCACGGCCGGGCGGCAGGCGTCGTTGATGAAGGACCCCCTCAAGGCCGCGCGGGCGGGCGACAGGTGGAGAGAACTGGCGAGTGTGGGTTCTTTCCCCTGTTGCGCCCGTGCTGCATGGTGTTGGTCAATGTTTGTTTGTGCCAGGAAGGGGTATGACTGAATAGCATCTTGGAGGTTCTAAGCTGTCACTTACAACCCAAAACTGTAGACATGAGAAGTGTCTCGAACAACAACACCAACCATCTCTAGTGCTGGTTGATTGACGGAAGCTGATGGGAACACAAGAATTTGTGAGCAGACGTTGGGCTCTTGCCCATGCCCTCTTTTCTGTCTGCCAAGTTTCACATATCCATTTCCACGAAGCCACGAAGATGACTCTCGCATTAGGAGGGCTAACCTTGGTCCAGTGGTGACAAACCCGGTGATAGACCGTCACTTGCTGATTTCATGCCTGCAACGCCAAAAGCCGTAAGTCCAGTCACACGAGGTGAACAGGCATGTTACGAGCAAACTGTGAGGGGCACCCTTCATCACAAGCCAGAAGTTCTATTGCTGGGACTTGCTGGGGCTTGGCCTTTTTGAGCAAACCCCTTGGACGTCATCAAACACCCAACAGTCAGAACGAAAAATGAAAAAAGGTCAAGCAAACTCACTCAACATCTAATCGCTAAATGCTCATTCACATGGGGCAGGCAGAATACCTAGCCCTCAAATTAGTGTACCACTATAAAAAAAACAAATATGGTGTTGATCTAAATTCCTTTATCCCGGATCCGTCATCTTAGCCAAACACAAATTACTTTAGCCAAACTTTCGCCTTCCTGCGTTTATCTTTCGCCGAAAGATGTTGTATTTATGTGTGCCATGTATGTTGCATGATGGATATCAATGTTGTTAACGTCAATGGCTTCTTCTTGACTGGCAAATACAAAATAAAAACTTCACTGCTTGTCAGCATGTGTCTTCTACTTAACTGTTGACACCCTGTATGTCTCTTTTGTTTCTCCTGGGTGTCAGCAAAAAAACTTTCGCCAAATGAGATTTTGATATGTTCCGGGTCATCCTCATCAACAATCCTGTCAAGGACCTTTAGATCGACAACCATATACACATAATACATTGTGCACATGATTCGACAGGACCACAACCGCCACACCACCACCCACAGGCAACCATTCTCGCAAACAGCTTCTCAATCACTAGCCACAACAGAACAAATGGCACCCCACTACTGTACCGGGGCAGCATGTGGTCAAAATATGTCAAAATGGACCATTCGTTGGCGATACTCTGCAGAATCTGCTTGAACCGTCCAATGGATTTACATTTATGCTTGGACCAACAACAACAACAACCTGGAAACGTGGGCGCATTCGCTAGCCGCCGCATCTGCCACAAAAGCTTGGCGGCACTGCCAGCCATCCTGGCACAAAACTCAGGGACAAGCAAACCCATTTGAGGAGAGTTGAGTTGCCAGGTTGAGTGAGGTCGGATAGAGAGGCAACACTTTGACCATTGCTAAATTGGGCACATGGAGTTGCTGTTGTTTCCACCAGTCTTCCACAAACTTCCACAGTTTGCTTGGTATGATGCCCCAAAAACCGATTCTCAGAAGCAGTTTCATGTTCACCGTTGATGAAACCCACCCAAACAAGAAAACTGGATTGGAGATGGCTGGTAAGGACCATCCAGCTCGAGTTTGATTCAGCTTTTGGGCCTTTGGGAGTTTAAAGTATCTCCCAAACTTTCTCCGGTCTTCGAAAACCGTCAGAAACACAAAACCGACCAACCAACATCATACAAATTTAAACAATCATGATCCCCTCTTCCAGGTGCTTTCTTCGGTTCACCTGTCCAGGGCGTGGCCCAATTGCTCCAAGCTGGCGCACACCGCCACGGAAGCCATGGACTCCTGACGCGGGGCCGGGTTCGCGTGAAGGCCGTGGGAAGTTCCCTTTTCGTTGTTTGTTGCCACGTCCATCACAGCAGGTGTGATAGAGTTAGTTGATGTTAGTTGCTGAAAGCTAAAACCATTCTGAAACGCACTGTAATTCATGCTGTGATCCCAACTCCATCAACAGTGTCCCCCTCCCAAAAAGTGAAGCAAATCGGACACCACACAAGAGACCAACAACGAGACCGGCCGTTTATGATGTCGAGGCCCCCGGCCCTCCGAAGAGTTGATCGACGTCGAGTTCGGCGCCTCACCTTGCAATCCTCCACGCGCTCACAGGCCGCCTGCAGCTTGACACAACCGTCGTCCAGCTGTGTGGGGAAGTCCTGGAAGCAGTCCCTGTACCTGAGATCATCAAAGGGGACGATCTCTGAACTTCCTGACCAGTCCCGTGATACTCCTGACCAGCTTCTCAAGTCTCAAAGTCATGTTGAAAGCTGAAGTTCTGGAGCCAGCGCCAAAAATCTTCCCAACCCTGAAGTTCCTTTGCCACGACCCGGTGAGCTTGAAGTGAAAGCCAGAGTCCGACCAGTCCTCTGCCCTCTTTTACTCAAAAAACCTCCGCGACGTCCGCGACCGTGCGGTGCGACGTCCGGGTCCGCGATGGACTGGTCCGCCATGGCGCTTCACCATGCAATTGAAGTCCCTGAGCTCATTGAGGAAGTCCAGCGCCAAAAAGAGTCCGGACGGTGGATCCTGGAGAGGCCCTGGATAGGAATGGACATGGACACACCATGTAGAGAATGTTCACCTACATTGACCCTGTTTTAAACCACTCCACTTCACAATGTAAGCAATTACTCCATACATGGAGTGTTTGAAGAAAGGATGGGAAAGTCTTGCAAGAACATTTCAGTTCAACTCGTGTGCGGCCACTGAAGCAACAAAGAACTATGAAGAAATGACCCTGTTTGGTGTTTCGGGACTGCTAGTCATCTAAAACCTACCCACAAACCAAGAACCACACGTCCGTCCAAGCTACCCTCGCTCGGGTGTTGTTTCCCGCTGCCTCTGCCATCTCGATGCCATCAGCAACCAGGTCGTAGACATGGCTGGCGTGCTCAAAGACTGCACGTGAGCCAGTAGAGCTGTAATCCTCAACCAGCCGCTGTTCGAGGCACTCAGGCTGTCAACCGCAGCTATCCAAAACAGGTGGTGTGTTCCGGACCGATGTGGTTCAAACACGGCTGGGCCATTGCGTTGGGATTTTGGGTGGTAGTTGAGCATCTTGGCACCAAGGTCTCTGCTGCAGAAAGCTGTCACTGCCGTGCAGTGTCACTGTCGGATTGGAATCATGGTCATATATCCCAATTCCGGCGGCCCATGTTGGGATGTCAAACCCGGCAAAATCTCACTCGTCACTTGAGAGTTGAAGACCTGTTTGAACATGACCCTGTTCGTGGTGGTATCAAAGTGATCGTGCCAACCAGATTGCAATAAACCGGATTGTCACGCCATGATGAGAAAAACCTGAGGAAATCCAAATGTTGAAGTGAAAAAACAATCATGCCATTGGAACATACCTGAGCCAGCAGGCACTTGTTCCAATCTCTCAAGTTTTTCAACAAAACAAATTTATAAGCTATATCTGTGGCAACTAAGACATTTCAAAGCCAGAAATTGATCCCTGCTCCCACTCATGTCAAGGACCATTATTCAACTGGAGATGATCATATAAAAACCACCACTCAGTAGGGCAAAGGAGTAGAACACCTACCGAAAAGAACCACCACTCATCGGCACACACCGCACCGAGCAGCGTCCAGCGGTGGGGGTCCACATGGAGCGTGGGGTGGACAAGCCGCAGTCGCCAGGTCGATGAAGCCAAGGACGAGAAGGGCATCCCGCATGCCATGGGGCGACGAATGGTGGTTGGAACGTGGACGTGGATGGCTTTAGAATGTGTTGTGGAGGGTGTTCAGCAAACTCCAACTGATGCCCTATATTGGAATGTATGCTGTAAAAAAGGGCATGCTGAAGTAGAAATAAGGGCTTTCATGCTGAAGTAGAGCTACAAATCGGGTTCGATCGATCTTCGGCCGGGCATCCCACGACATCGGAAGCAACTCATCCTACAAATCCATGGTGCTCCCAGCGAGTTCCGGTGAAGAACACCGATCAAAATGGATGTACTGCTGCCAAAGGTCCTCCAATGGCGGGATGCTGTAGAGCTGTAGAGCACGGATTCACTGATAAGAGACTTCCTCCAGATGGAAATTGATTTGAAAACGACTTCCTCCATTTTTGGAATGTTGGCGGTGCACCTTGCATCTCCGTAACCTTTGCACTTTGCGATCGTTAATCTCAAGCGGACACATCTACGGAACTTCAGTGCACACACTGCTTGGGGAAAAGAACATCTTTGCTGAACCTTAAGCATGTTCGGCCTACGTGCGGCCTATGCAACACCAGTTTAGCCTATAAGCCACGCATGGCGAGGTCTTCCAGAGTGAAAAGGTCCCCTCTAGCGAAAGCTGTGTAGCTGACAACCAAAGGCTAACAGTAGCAAAATCGCAACGAATATGCCCCACTGCACTTTCCGGCATTTGCGGATTTGGCTCATCCGGTTCTTTCATATCCCCACCCAATTTCTGCCTAACAATGGAATCAGCAAGCAGTTCAGCTTTTTCACGGCACACAAACAGTCTGCCGTTGAGATCTAGGTGGACGGCCACCAGGTTGTAAGAGCAAAACATGCCCACTGATGCTGACTATGCTGATTTGGGATGCACCCAAACCCCAAATAAGCCACTTTGGCGCTGCAATTCTTAAGGCCATTCAGGGGAACCAACATGGATTGGAAAGGTGATGGACCTGGAAACCGTAGGGGGTTCCCACCATCAAACTAAATTGAACGTGACATGGAGGCAAAATGGTGATGTTTATGCTGACTGGTGCCTCTAAAACCCACGCCCCAAATAATAGCATCGGAACAGGACCTAGAATGTTCCTATCAAAGGCGCGATCAAATGCCTGAAACATTCCGGCCTTGCAACTACAACCAGGAGACCAGGGTTGCCCCGCAGGGTGTCAAAACGTCATTGACAATCAAAACATCGACAAAGTAATGGAACCGAATGGAACCGGTTGACGTCAAAGACTCCGGCGAGCATGAAACCCTTTAATTTATATGCAAACTGTACAATGAATTAAATCTTCAGCAATGTTTCGCCACTCTCCAATTCAGCCGCTGGGAAAAACACTGATTGAACGCAATCTGAGGCCGAATACCGAATACCTATCATTTTCTTTTGACAAGCAACACGCAACCAAAGCAGGGGGGGCCACATGTCCTTTGTTCACACGAAACATCCTGCAACACCACGGAACCCATGAACCTTCCGACCAAGATGGATGAATGCGAGATGACCCCAAAGTCTTGTCGCTTTCCTGCTCAGTCGCTCTTGCCATCTTCGCACTGTGACAAAAGATCTGCCTGGAGCTTTTTCGTTGTGTTCAACATGGGGGGTGTAGATGGTTGGGACCTCCAATCGGTCAGACCTTTCATCTCCAAACGACCTGCGCGCCGGTCATTGGATCTTGATCACTGCAATCCCACTTCCTTCCGCAAGTGCTGCGGGATCTCAATGCTATTGCCATGCTTTCCAGTGTCGATGCTTTGAACATAGGCGCGAAACAACGCCTGCATCAAGGCGAGTCACGGCTAGTCACGGCAGGATGGGAACATCACAGGACCTCCTTTGATGGAACACGACTAACACAACTGCATACAACTTATGAAACCTGGCTGTCTGTTTCGGGTGAACATGAATATAAAACCACCCTAAGACGGTCCCGGGTTTTATGGCAAATTCGTTCAAACTTCCTGCCAACAACAATTGGGGGACCTCCACTTCCAAAGTCAGCCTCTATCCCATGTCTAATTCATGTGTAGATATCTTCTGAAGATGTCATTATACCGATTTATACCTTGGGTCTATCCTATTGCCTGTAACAGTGGATTTTGTACAGGCAGTGTCCAAAAATAGTTTATATGGCTTATACGTAATTGCTTACTGACTGTTACAGGTAAGAACGAAAAAACCTGGTTCCCGGATTCCCTGCGGAAGGCGGCGCATTGACTAAACCAAATCGTGCTTGAAAACCCTGAGAGAATGGCGGAGAACCACCCTTTCCATTTGCAGCAGGCATCACTGTATGACACACATTTTCCTCGGCGGGTCAAAAACCGGGCATCCACGGTTTCCAAATAAACGATGGGTGAAAACGACATGAAACTAGAATCACCATGGCACCGGTTGTAAAGGTGTTCGGATGATGGAGTCGTATAGCCACTATAGTTCTACTTCAAATCGGTTTCAAATCCATTTCTCTCAGCTACCTGGCAGCTACTTCTTCTAAAACCCTCAAGCGCCTGAGCATCAGGATCTCGAAGGCCATGGTCGATGGCACGCTTCTCAGCAGCGCGGTAGATGCGACCAATCAGCTGCCCTTCCTTCAGCACCTCTCCGGCCAACCTGCCGCGCCGCGACCCTTGCGGAATGCTGGGACCCTTCAGACCCTGCAACCCTTCTCCTTCGACAGTTTGGTTGAGCTGTCGCCCAAAACTTAGGAAGACTCCCACACCTGATCAAGTAGCTATCTTGGAATACCCTAAGCTTAACTTTCCAACCTTAGGATCTGATTGGGAAAAAACACTGAAGATGCCTTCTGAATTACCCCCTGCTGTCAATGTTACTTCCAGCTGCAGTATACAGAAGAGTAAGAACAGTGTAAACCTTCGTATCCTGTCTATCTTTGATCAAAGATGATCAAAGCAACCAACCTTCATCAAAAAGCTTTACGATCATGGTCTCCATTCCTGTCTCGACGCTCCGACTTTGGACACCCGTGCCCGGAATCTAACAGCCAAGGCAACATGGAATCAAAAGCCCCTTGCAAACTGCAGAATCTGTTCGACAACAGGGTCGACATGGTACAGATCCCTTCTAAAAAGGTGAAGTCGATCTCTAACCAAACAAACCACATCCACCGTTTGAAAACAGACCTGCCCAAAAACCACAGCAAGGCGCTCTGCTTTCAAGTGGCATGTGAAGCTGCGCTGCCTTCAACCATCCACCACCCAATGGCGGCCCACGGCCCGCCAGCGTGGGTGGGGCTTCGGCCCCTTCGGCTTCAGTCACTTCGTCTGGCTGGGTAGTGGCAACGAGCTTGGCATTCCAACCTGAGAATTAGGGTACAATCAAGGGCCAAACGGGACATGAACGGAGACACGGATTGCTAAACGCTATAACCACCTATAACCCATACACTGGGCCAGAAGCAGTTTGGAGACGCTTTGATGGTGACTCTTTGTCAGTTTTTCCCGAAAGACGTTGGCGAAGGGCGCTTTTTAAAAGGGAATGTCTTGACTTGCATGTCTCGGAGTTGATTTGTCCTGTTTCACATCTGGAGCAGCACGTCTGGATGTTGTGGACGTTATACTATCAACATAGATGATGAATGTCTTGCACTTGGATGTCTGGCACTTGAATGTCTCTCTTGTGTCTCGCTCGAATGTCTGTCTTATATGTCCCTCGTGAATGTCTTTCTCTAATGTCTCTCTTGAATGTCTTTCTCCAATGTCTCTCTTGCACGTCTCTCTTGAATGTCTGTCTCTAATGTCTCTCTTGAATGTCTTTCCCTAATGTCTCTCTCTCTCTCATGTCTATCACTTCATTTCAAATTCATTCAACAGAAATGCATTTGGTTTTTGCCGGCTGCAGTCCGGAAGACGTTTGCGAACATGTCACCCTTACAGCACTTTTGTGCGTATCGATCGCGGAAAAATGGTAGTAAAATTTCGATTTTGGCGTTGCTGGCGTGACAGGCTGCGGAGATTGCGCGTGTCGATCGCGCGAACTGTCGTACAACGTTGATTTTGGGTGTGTTGGCGCTGTGCTGGTGCTGTGTTGGCGCTGCTTGGCGAAGATTTTCGTATTGAAAGTAGTCTTGAGCCGAGGATGTTTTTGGACTAGCTTCTATTTGATTTAGAATTGGAGCGGATTTTCCTGGAAACCTCTTACTATACTTTTCCTTTTCAATTCGTTTCTTCCTGCTCCGGCGCTGCTTCGCGGAGATTTTCGTATTGAAAGTAGTATTGAAAAGTATGTGTTTGGAAGAGTTTCTATTTGATTTAGTATTGGAACGTAATCTTCCTGAAAATCTCTGGCTTCACTTATCTTTTCAAATTCCTTTTAAACTTTGCTTCAAATCGGGTCTTTTGCTACTCCGGCGCTGCTTGGCGGAGATTTTGGTATTGAACGTAGTATTGCAAAGCTTCAATTTTCCTTAAGCACCTTTTGCTGCTTTTGGTGTTGTTGCTGTTGGTCTTGGTTTTGGTGCTGGTGCTGTTGTTGCTGCTCGTGCTGGTGCTGGTGGTGCTGGTGGTGCTGGTTGCTCGTGCTGTGTGGGTGCTGGTTCTGTGGGTGCTGTTGATGTTGGCCGTCTGGTGGTGCTGGTCCTGGCGCTGCTGCTGCTGCTGCTGCGTACTGGGCGCTTGTGCTGGTGGTGGTGCTGCTGTTGTTGCTCGCTGTTGCTGTTGGTGGTTGGCCCTGCTCCTGCGTGCTGCTTCTGCTGATGGCGCTGCTGCTTGTGTTGCCGCTGCTGCTGCTCCTGGTGCGATACTACTAGTGATGCTGTAGCTTGTGCTGCTGGTGCTCCTTCTGGTGGTGCTGGCGCTGGTGCTGCTGTTGTTGCTGCTGCTGCTAGTGCCTGCTGGTCCTGCTGCTGAGGCAGTGCTGTTGCTTGTGCTGCTGCTGGTGGCTGCTGGTGCTGGTTATCATTCACAGCATATTGCTTCGTCCATCTTTGATTTGCTTAAGATCATTTGGCAGAACTTGTCTAGCGCCTGGACTTGCGCATGTCATTTTTCCTGTGGGATGTTGAGGTCAATGTTTGCGATATAGGTTCGGTTGGGCTAGTTTTGTACCTTTTGCTTTCGTCATTACCTGGAAGAAAGGCACGTTGGCCCAAAATGCACAACATCGCCTCATGGTTGCGCCAGCTGACATGCAAGAAAAACAAAGTGTCTTTGCCACGCTCAATCGAGGAGTGTTTCCACGCCGCGGCCTCTGAGACCATATGCAAGTGTCTTTGCCTACAGCGGACCCATAGTGATTCTGTGCCGGTGCGTCTTCACTTACAGTGATTGCGTGTGTGTTGAGCTGTATGGCAGTCTAAAAAAGAACAACACATCACGGTTTGTATGCCTTCACCATTGACATGCCATCTTGTCGACATAGGTTCTGCACGATATCGATGTGGGGAGTTGATCATTGTCCGTATGTTGTGCTTTATGGACATGCACATATGTCTTTCGGGTACCCACTCGGGATCTATATGGTTCTTCTTTTATTGCCTGGACTTTTCGCAAAAGTGTTCACCTAAAATCGTCGTGGAGAAGGGGATTTTTTCTCAAACGGGATCAGGGCCAAACACTCAAGCCTAGAAATCTGACTGGCTTTCACGGTTGTTTCTAATTATTCTGTGATTCCGTACCGCCTTTGCTTTCAGGTGATTTTTGCTTTCAGGTTCATTCCTTGGGTTCTGCGCCGGAACGGAACTCCGGCATCCAGCTCCAACCCATCATGATCCATCATGATCCATCCCAGTTCATCCAATTCATCCAAGCCAAGCTTTGCTTTCCAATCGTCTTCTCTATCATTTTCTATCTCTTCTCATTCCAAGTGGCAGATCCAGTAGAGGTCCCCATCCAAATCTCCTTCAGCAATCAGCTCCGGCAGCCCCACATCGCTGGCACGGGGGAAGATCACTTCGCCAAAGGAGCGGGACGTCAAAAAGCGCCAAGCCTGGGAAAAGGCCAGTCTCAAAAGAATATCTGCGATAATATCTGGGAATTTTATCAAATATATACAGTATATATATATATAACTAGAACCTGAATGACCTCTATATTGAACCACCAACCACCCAAAATATGGTTGCTTCCGGTCAAAACAGGGGTCAATTGGGTTCTATATATATATATAAGTTTTTGCTGCGAAGTTCAACCAAAACATCACATTTTTGGAGACGAAGGCCATGTGAGGGATATGAGTAGAATGTTTTACGGAGCCCGGCCGTTCAACATGCCCATCGGCTCTTGGAACGTGTCCCGTGTCACAGATATGAAGGCCATGTTTTACAATGCAGCGGACTTCAATCAAGACATCGCATCTTGGAATACCTCCGCAGTGCGAGACATGAGCTTCATGTTCTTTGGTACTAGTTTGGGTGCTTTTGTATGGTTTGGACTAGTTTTGATTCGTTTTGATCATATATCCACATCTATCCACACCATGTCCTTACCCCAAACATCTGCAGACTGTGGTAGTTCTCGTGGTACTGATCTTGAACCCCAAACATCAAAAGTTGCGTCTCGTCTCTTGGCTTTTGCCACGTCACTTCTTCAGCCATCCCTGGCGGACGACAGGTTACCACACGCAGTCGCTTGCCATCGCTCGGGCGAACGCATGGGCAACGGGTCACCAGCACTTCGGACATGCCTGGCGGTCAGGAACGGAGACATTGAGTCTTCGCTTTGACTTCGTCTTCATTCCCATGTGAACCCGCCCCGGAACCCCTAACCTCCCCTCTAACCACCCTGCTCACCTTGACTCAAAAGCTGCTCCTGCAAACCGGAGATGAAGATCTGCCCCTCCGGCAGCTGCCCCGTGGGATCTGCCACGCCCACCACGAAGGCCTCCTGCCGGAACTCCTCCTGAGCTGCGGGCCTAAGCGGGCCTAAGGCCCGGTTCAGCTGGTGGAGGGATCACGTCCCTCAAATTGGCTGGTACCGAAGTTTGGATGATTTTTGGATGATCTGATCTTTTGTTTCTAATGGTGAGTTCAATGATGAATCAAAAAATGGTTCAATAAGTTTAGTGTTCAAATTTCAAAGCAACACAAACATTGATGGAACCACTGGTCTTGATCGGCTTTATCATGGTTTATCCAAGCGCTCAACTGTTTCATACTTTTCTACTCATTGACTGATCCACAAGTTCACACCAAAACTCCGCACTTTGATCGAAATTGAACATGTCTCAAAAAGGGTGCAAGAAAATGTCCAAGTCTCCTTCTTGTGTCTTTCAAGCTCTTCGGAGGATATCTCCAAGCTCTTCAGAACTCGTTCCACCATGGGTGACAACTTCTTTTGCTTCTCCTTCAGAGCCTTCAAACTGAGCAACAGCAATTCACAGAACGCATGTGGAACCCTTGAGTCAAGAGGTTTGAACCCGAGTCGATCGAGTTGATAGAAACGATCGAATTGATCCACGTACGATCACCAAATCATCGAGATGACCGAATGGTAGAGAAGGGTAGTTGGCCCAGGGGACTGGGAATCGGAACCTCAGGGAACCTTGAAACAAATGCGATTGCCTGGTCGTTCTGCTTGGTTCTGATTTGGAGGAGTTGTTAACAACATTTTGGCCCACAAATCAACTATTCGTCAAAGAGAACCAGTGAGCCTTATCCTCAAGAGGTCCCCCGAAATCCTACTTGAGAAGGGAGGTGCTACAAAGGTAAGGCCAAGTACGGACGATAATGCCGCTGGTGATAACTAGATGATCATGATGACGATGAACATGGTGATGATGGTGATGATGACCAAGCACAACAATAGCTCCACCCACGACTATCGGGTGGAGTTCTTCCTTGCCAAGGTGACCAATCACCATACAATCACCAAACGAGACACCTCGGGCAAATGGACGCCTGCCCACGTCCCAAACCTGCAGTGGAGATGATGATGACGACAATGACGATGATGATGGCTAATGACCCGGTTTAACTTACGTGACACCCTGGACAAATTGACAGAAGCGATCACAAGCGCACATCCCAGATGCAGCTGACCACAGTAATTAAGGATTCTTCTGATAATGACAACGACCACGACGAGAACCATGACCACGATGAACATGCACGTGATGATGACAATGGTGATTACGATGAGAAAGATTATGTTGAACATGGCAATGACACCTGATGCTAATGACCAGTTCCTGAGGTCAAAAACGACTGAGAACGCATCAACATTGACGCCGCAAAAAGCAAACAGGATGATGCGGTTGGAAACATGACGACGTCGCGACGATGATGGTGACTATGGTGATGACGGCGATTAACAAACACAACAATAGCTCCACCCATGGCTGTCAGGTGGAGCTATTCCTCGCTGAGGTGAGCCCAAAGTACAGGGATGATGATGATGATGATGACGATGACGGCATTCAACTTGCTGTATTTGACACCCTGGGCTCAATGTCACAAGCGCACACATCCCAATGCAGCCGCCAACTGCGACGACGTCCACGACACTGATCACGACAACAATCTGGACCACGATAGTCAGTCACCATCATAAGGTTGACGATGGTGGTGATTGCGACAGCGATGGTGGTGATGATGATGATGAGGAGGAGGAGGATGCCGCCGACAATGCTGAGGTTGATGACGACGATGGCGATGGCGATGACTACGACGATTTCGGTGATGGTGAACATGTTGTCAATGATGTTGAGACTTGACGCCAACGATCAGTTCTCGATGTCCAAAAGCCATGTCCATGAGTGGCGAGTGGAGCTATTCCTCACCGAGGTGACCAATCACAATACAATCACCCAACGAGACACCTTGAGCAAATTGACGCCTGCACACCTTCCAAACCTGCAGTGGAGATGATGATGATGATGATGACGACAACGACGATGATGATGGCTATCTAGGCATTTTGGCACCAGCACTCAGCACACATCTCAAATGCAGCTGACCACAGTGACCATGATGATGAGAAACACAATGGCGACAATTGTGGCCACAAGAGTTATGATCATGATCATGACGATGGTGATGATGATGATGATGGTGCTTGCCGAAAAAGGAAACACGCACAACCAACACAAACTACAAACTCACCACAGAAAAGCAACAAAGCACCTCCAAAACACGGGAAGCCATCCAGGAAATTGCACGTTAAGTACGTTAAATCCCAAATATAGCCAAGGCTACCTTTTGAGATTAGTTCCTATTACTTCTCACTCAACTTGATCATGTTTCACTGTTTCACGCAAAAATCAAGGAAGGATTTCGCTTTTGCTGATCGCGTCGTATCCATCAAAAGCGGCATGGCTTTGGAAGTTCGCCAGGCGATTTCACCTCCTCCTCCCCATGGCCCTCACGTCCCCTCCTTCTGTGGACGACCAGTCTTCAACCATTTGCCTATCCTGGGAGTGCGTTGCTGCTAAAACTAATGTCAATCGAATCAAACCCAAGAATGCCAGTCAACAGCCAACCAATGTTCCTGCTATTGCTCGTAGGTCTTCCAATCTCACCCACTACCTGAAAAAGCGTCTACCTGAAAAAGTGAGGGGTGGCGGTTGGGATACGTTGTGAAGAACATCCACAACAAGAACTCAAGATTGGATTCCAGTTGGCATCAAAATGGGTCATTCAAGAGTTTCAGAGTTTCGGTAATTTCCTATTCAAAAGTCCAATTCAAAACTGCAACATGTTTGACCAGTACTTCACCCATCACCAAGCCAAGTATCTGCAGGCCCGTTGCTGATGGAAACACTTTGGTCACCACCACCCACACTTGGTCATCCGAAGAGATGCGGCTGGGGCCCACCTTCTGCATAGACTCCTCTGGCCAAGGATTCAATGATCTTATGCAATGATCAAGGATGGATCCGAAGATTTCAAAAGATGGTGAACAAAAAGGATAACCAATGTGAGAAGATGTAAGAAGATGTGAGACAGGGACACATGGAAATGATAAAACTAAACCATGGAACAAATCAGTTCATGCAAAAAACGGATCACATGGTCAGATGAAGACTGCCATAGCCGTTGAAGAAATTCATTCAGATTTGTTGAACCGCATGAGTTCTTAGCAACTTGCCTCCAAATCCCAATCTCATCGAACCTCAGAGAGCCACCTGGAACAGTCCTTCTGGGCCTCTGGAAGTCATGGTCCAAAACCCTTCAACCCCCCCATCTCCTTGGCAAATTGGATCTTCTCAATCCCTTCCTTCAAAGTTAAGACGCCCTTCAGAACTCCGACTCCTTGGTCGTTTTGTTTCACTGTCACACTTTGTTCATTCGCCATGCGATTCATGTCGTCCTGTGTCCAAATCTAAAGGTCAATTTTTCTCCATGAATCACAACCAGCCACTGCCTCAGCAATAATCTTCAAACATCTACATGACGCGCAAGGAACACTGCCAAGTTACAAAAACGAGTTTCTTTTCTGTTACAATTTGAGGGTCCCAGAGTGTCTGCCAAGTAACTTGCCCCAAAGATGCGCACTTGGACACTGGTCGCTGCCTTAAATTTCTCAGTTCTCGTCCCCAAATGCTCTGTGAGCCGCTGCAGGTCTCGTTGATTAATGAAGCCACAGCCTCCCGAAGCTTTGGTCAAAGGTTCAGGAATGGCTTCCAAGTTAGCCTCGGAGCTGGAGCTGCACTGCATGCTATGGCGTTGCTGCATGTTATGGGAAGTCGGCATCAGTTGAAGTCCTGGTTTCTTGGGTGTAAATTCAAAGCTGAAGCAGTGAGAGAGAGAGAGAGAGAGAAAACAAATGGAAGAAAATGGCTGAAATTGAAGCAAAGAACACCTCCCCAAAACCAAAACCACCTACATGGGGGCAATGTGGAATATCCAACTCGCTCACGTTGTCCCGCTGCCCAGCAACAGCTGTGAAGCCGCTCACGACGTGCCCAGGGCTTTGCAGAAGTTCCAAGCGCGAGGCGACTTTGCGAGCACTTTTCCTTGCAGTTTCAGTGAATGTCGTGAACTTTGGAGGATTCTTTTCAAAGATCCTTTGGACCATGGAAGCCTCATGCCATGACGCGCTCGCGGGGGCCATTGACGGCATCTGTTGGTCAAGGCCCATGACGCTGAGGTGTCCATTGCTTTAGGTCAAGTTCCAGCGGAGATCCTTTCGAGATGAAAAAACACAACAAAATGTCCGACACTGTGATTGGAGAAAGACTCCGCCATTGAACGCACGATTGGGAACTCTACTTTTTCAGTACTAGGCAACGAATCAACGTGTTCAAAGTGCCAAGTATCAAATCTGAGAAACTTGCAAGTTCTTCAAACTCGTCCTCCAAGGCCCTCCCAGGAGTTTCCTTCACATAGGCGCACCGAATGCAATATTTGGGGCCGCCCCAGAAGTGGAGACCGTCTTTCCTGGGCGTGTGAAATGGCGAGTCCAAGCATTTCTTGGACTGCAAAGTCAAATGACAATGAAAAACATTGGTAAATGAAACTATCCCAAATTCCCAGCATGCTTCACGCTCATCACCGGCAAGTGGGCGATGAATAGAAACCACAATAGCTCTGAATCTTTCCAGCTGTTTCTGATCGGTTCCACTGTGATCTAAATGAGATGTTTGGAACAGGGCAAATGAAAAGTATACATATGATATATATGTATTAAATAAATAAATAAATATATATATTAAATATGCATATGGAGATATGGCTGCAGGATCGTTTCGGGCGTTCTCACACATAAATCTGCCCAAACAATTCACTACCGCATGTTGTAACAATACTACAATTCCGGACCTTCTCCAAGTTGCTGTAACCTTTGGGGTACGCAGCGCGTCTTCGCCAAGTTTCTCAACTTTCACGCTGACCAAGTGCAGAAGGTCTCCATGGTGCTTGATGACTTTGGACGGAGGCTCAAATCCTTTTCGGCCCAAGCCCTTCTCCATAATGACCGTGCGGGCGCTAAAGTGATAGTCCAAAAAGCACTCCTTGGCGTCAAGGACGGCCGGAGCACGATCCTTTGAAGTCACTAAATTGTTCTTAAGGTCATTTAATTGAGTCACTTATCATCTATCTATATAAACATCTATATAAAATGAGTACCGTAGGCAAGGAAAAGCGAGCAAACCACAGCAAACCACTGCAAACCACGTCCGGATCCACTAGGCCACTAGGCACTTTCATCAAACGAATGACGATCCATTGGGCAAGACCGACCCTAGGCAAAATGGATGGGCAACACGTTTGACCACATTCCTCACCGGATGAGCGACGTTCTGGACCCCGAAGCCAGGAGGACATCTAAGACCTTCACGGCCGCGGCAAAAGTCCTTTTGCCAATTCCCAAATGCTTCATGTATGGCATATTTACCTACATTGGGGTGGTTTTCGGGGTCAATGTAGGCATACATGGAGTGTATGGGATTGGTAAATATGTGGCAAGTACGTGACACACATGACATGCCCGATATGGACAACGTGCTGCTCTGAGCATCTCCACATCTCTGGAAGGTCACGAGCACGAGTGCTCGCCCCACAATTATGGCATCGCCACGGTGTGGCATCGGCATTCTGACACCGGTTCTTGAACACTTTCGACCATCGCTGACATGACCGAGCTGACCGAGCTGACCGCACGTGTCTTTTGCTGAACATCAACGTCTCAAAATGTGGATGTTCCGCGGGGCATTGATCAGGCCCTGAAGGAGGAATTCTCAAATGAATTTGTTGGAATAAAAACAATCACTTGCACAACCCTTTTTTTAACATGCATAATTTCAACCATCTCGATGAACATGGCCCAAGCGTCTTCAGTTTTTTTGTCATCTCCCAAAATGATCTTCTTCACTCTTTCGTAAATGGAGAAGCTTTGTGGTTCATCATTGTCTTCAAAAAACTCCTCCAAAGGAGTCTGCGGCGCCGTGGTGGCTACGCTGGTGGGGCAAGAACTCCCGAAACTGACATAGTGATGTTCCACTTGGACCTTGGAGCCGGGTAGAATAGGATGTTTTGTTTCTTTCTGTTTCTTTGAGGAATCAGGAGGTCGCCATCTGATTTCGTTTGGCGCTTGCACGCTTGGAGGTCAAGGCGGTGGCCATACTCGTTTGTAAGATATTGTAAGATCATAATACTCAGGACGATGGAATCATGTGAAACGCCATCCTACCGCCAACTCTAGCATGATCGTCTCCATGAACTGCTGTACCCACGGCTGATTGCCAAGAATGTCAAGAATGACCAGGGTTGACGCTCGCCGTAGGTAACATGCGCCCACCTGCAGAGTCCAGAAATGCCAGGCAACTGATTTATCATTGTGATTGCCATCCAGCTTGATCGTTGCCTTGCTCTTGTTCCATTTCTCCACCACGCCAGTCTCTCCTGCGCAAGGATTATTTTGCAACCTAACCTGACGATCTGGTGAATCTCGCGATGATTCTGGCAGGCCCCGGGCAAACCTAGTCTGCCTAGGCTTGTGCAAAAAAGAACTGCAGGCTTGCTTTCTGCATAGTCAGCACCCCAAAAAGATAATTTCATAAAATTTCCGGGTGTGGATTGCGGCATGGCTGCGTCAAAGAACCCACCCATCTGCAACAGCTAAACATAATCCCGAGTTCACTGCATCTCCTTGATGTTTGCCTCCTGTGATGGCCACTCGATCCCCTTCCTGGCCAAGAGGCAAAGAAATCATGCGCATTTTGGGGGTTTTGAATTTGTTGAAGAAAGAATAAGAAAGATAAGAAAGGACACTCACTACAACAAGGGAAACCGTGCAAACAAATGAAAACTGAGGATCGTCATGAAGCGATTCACCATCTTAGATACTCATCAAACACATAGATTCATCCAAAAACTTAAGAGAAACACAAGGCACCGCCAGTCACAATTTTGCAGTTCAATTCCACCAAGTCGCGTTCAATTTCTTCTGCTCGTCCGTTTTGCTCGCTTCAGCTGGGTACCCCACTGGGCTCCGATCTGGAACCACCTCGAGGCTCGAAGTCCGGCCGAGTCGAAGTTGGCTGGTGGACATGGTTGGCCTGCGCAAACTGTGAGAACCAATGGTTAGCCTCTGCAACTCCTCAATTGCCATCCATTCATTAAACCCACTCTTTGCAAGAGACGTGACAGTTGTGGTCCTTGAGCTTCATGTACTTCAAAAAAATACAGAACTTAAAACCTTTAGTTGTCGGCAAAAGATCCTCCATGAAACGACAAGGATGACTTCTGATAAGCCCATGGGAAATTTATGACAAGTCCATGGTAATATTCCATCCATTGGGAAAGCATTTTTTAGATCCAAAATCATACATTTTGCATCATTTTACCATAAATTATCCTTTAACCAATGCTTGGGAAATGTGACTTCGACTTCGACCCATTTGGAATCCACAAGCCTTTCATAGTAGCGAATCAGATTCAAGCCGAAAAGTAAGAAATCCGTCAGAAAGACAGCTTTCAGTTATTTCAGTTCATGACGTATCTTTGCTGGTTCCGATGGTTCGAGAGGGTCTTGTTCTTTTTTACAGTACTTTCCCAAAGTTTCTCCACCAGCAAAGTTCTAAAAATCCATGCTCCTGCTCTTTGCAGCCTCACTGATTCACAGACCCAAAGCTGAAAAAAAGTAACATGTTGAACAAAACCATTTCAGAATAAATGGGAATTGGGAACTTAGATCTATGATACCAAAAACTGAATTTAAAAAACTGAACCATTTCAGAAATCTAATTTCCCAATGTTGAGCCCATGGTCAGTTTTCTCCACCTTCCACCTTTCTCCATCAAGCCGCTTTCGACTCGGGTTCGGGGGCTGATGTTGGATCGCTTGGCATCGGCTTGACGCTGCTCTGCATGATAGTCACCTGTTTGAGTCGCGCCAGAGCACCATGCGGAAGCAAAGGGTCATATCTGAGGCCACACATATTTGCACTACCCCCAAAAAAGGTGGTCATCCTCGGATGACATTCAGGATGACGATGCGACGATGACGCAATGGTCTTGTGCGATTGTCCAACCACTGGGTCCACTACATCGCCCCACATGTTTTTTTCGCTTCGGCGCCGCTCTCCGAGCATCTGGCCTCCTGCCCGTCCAGGTCAAGCTTCACCATCTTTGGGGTCAAGGCTGTGACGGTACCGACCTAAGGTCCCCAGCTCGTGAAGAATCGAAAACTGCTTCATGGATAACAGGTCAAGAAAAGCTGACCCCGACCACAATATGCCCACGAAGCAAGAGGACTCAACTTGGATTCGTGCAAAGTGGCATCAGAATTACAGCAAACCTCTAAATGATGATGTCATATGTCCGTGCTGGTCTGGCCGATGCGCTATTCATCTGTCATACATGATCAAACAAACAGCTCACCGACATCACCATTGACCAAGACCCGATGACATCACAATTGGCAACGTCCCCCGAACGTAACCTTTCAGAATCTCCAAGTCCAAGTTGCTTTTCCTGCATACTTCCCCCCGGTGACATTGACTCGCTGCCCCTCGACCAGAGCCATCACTGGTGCAAGTCCACAAGTGTTGAATGGAACTTGGGATACCCTTTTGGGGCTCATGGCCCAAATGTTTTTGTTGCCCTTTGGCGCCGGAAAGCAAATGCAAGTTGCCGCAGGCATTGAAATGTAATAGTAACATAAATGGGTCCGAACTAATGGAATCAATGTTGCTGATTGCATATTGGGGATCGATGATCTTGTGTGGAAAGTCTTCCCGGTTCCCTCCCGTGCCAAACCTTGTGGTCGGGATGCGTCTTGACAATGTGATTTGAGAACTAAAGCTCAGCCAACAGTGCAAATTCGAAGTTCTTCGCAATTAGTGCCGGCACGGTTTTCTGCCAACACAGCAATTGGTGGGGATCCACTTTTCTATCTTATTTGAACGGGGGCTCTCTTTACGGCTGCTCTGACATCGGATCCTTTCGTGTCTGGGTTCCAAGCGCCGGAACGTGGGAGTTCTGTGCTGCAAAGCGAACATGCGGAATGCGGTTTAACACTCAAACAATCTGTGGAATAAGCCCTGAAAGGGTTAGCAAGTTGTGTTTTGCGTTTGTT